TATTATTTTTATTAAATTTCATATGTTTTGGGAGTTTGAAATAATTTGTGGGGAGCATCGATTTTCGGCTAAAATAAAGGCAGAATTTTTGGAGGAGAACTATATCGATTTCTCAATTATCTTACAACTTCATCTATATTGATTCTGTTCTCAGGATTATATTGCAACATTTTTTTAATTAGAGATTGGTATTCATCTTCTTTAATTATTGATATCTTTTAAAGAAAAACATCGTAGAATTCTTTTTTGTTGAAATTAGCAACTTATTCTAGGACTTAATCTTAGGTATATCCTTCAAACAATGGCCTGTTTGTCACTAGCTCGTATGAAATTGCTCCTAAAGACCATATGTCAACCAAGTTAGTATAGGGTTGATTTTTAATCACCTCAGGAGCCATGTAGTAACAAGTACCAACTTAACTTGTTTGGTTAATATCCTTCTTTGAGGATAAACCAAAATCTCCAATTTTATATATATTTTATGTGTATTCTGGATTCTTAGAATCCTTAATTACTTTAATCATAATGTTCTCTGGTTTCAAATCTCTATGAGTAATTGTATTATTATGTAATGCTTTTAGTCCATCTGCTATGCTCACTAATACATATCTAAGATCTTTTTGATCGAATACTTTTTATTGTATTCTTTCAAATAAGTTTTCATTACAACATTCCATTAGAATACAAAAACATTAATCATTAATTTTTTCATAACCTATGACGTTAACTATGTTTCTGTGAGAAAACTAAGAAAGATTTCCCAAAATCTCCTACTCATATGGATCTAAATAATTTTATATTTTTAGTGCAAATATTTCTTTGGTCCTTTCCTCTTCAACTTTCCATACAGTTCCAAAATTTCCTTATCCTAAAACACTAAGAATTTTTAGTTATCTGTTCAAAATAGTTACGACATTATCTTTTTAAGGCATCATTTTTTTCGATAGAATTTGATAAATTAAATAAATATATTGGCATTTAATAATAATGATCCATTAACAAAATAATATTAATTCAAAAATATACTGCGAATATTTTCGAGAATATTTAGAAATATAAGACTATTTCTTTTAGAATCCTATATATTCTGAGTCCTATTATGATTGTTTGAATTAAATGTTTGCAATTATTACCAAGAAAGCTGGATAAGCACTGAAAATTAATAATTCAGATTACACACATAAAATAAACAAAGTGTATGCCTGTATTAAAAGTTCAAAATTTACTTCTTCTAAGTTGCTTAGAGAGGTTAGAATTACTAAACATGGGTTGATCTAATAAAAATTCAAGTCCTAAAATATTTATTCTGAAAAGTAGTTAGAGTATGTTGAGTTAATACCTGAAATTGTAAAGACTTCAGAAATAAAAGGAAAAGAATACAAAATGGCTTTTGAGAATTAGAAATAAAAATCTAAATGGGTATATTTTGAGAATTACATTGATGCTAGAAAGGTGAGAGATTTCTGTTATGCTAACGCTGCAATGAATAACTTAAGATACAATTTGGCAGGATTTGTTCACCTTCTAATTAAGCACTTTAATGAAACTTGCATTTATTTTGTCTTATAAAAGATATCAAAAACCAGATAAGAGATGGAAAGACTGTCAATAATTGAATTGAATTAATCTTAAACTCTGTCATTATTTTCTCCAGGACTCCTGGCAAAACAGGACTATGAAATGAAATAATCACTATCATTTTAAGAAAATAGTGTTAAGACATAAGGTTAAGATAATCAAATAAACATGTTCCTCCAAAGAGTTGTAAACGAGTATTTAGAGGCAGCAGTATAAAAGCATATAGAATAAGTTTAAGATGCAAATTTAGAAAACGAAAATGAAATTTAGTCAGTTTCATACATTTCTGTTTTCTAATTATCAGATCATCATAAGTCCAAATATTTAGAATTAAATTCCAGCAACTAGATGTATATCTCATGAAATGATGTTGACAGTTAGTAAATTTTATTGATCAAATTTAATACTTAATCAATCAATAATTAAATTTATAAATCAATTACATATGTAATTTATTTCTTAAGATGGGCGAACTTTTAAGGTATATATTTTTCAGAATTAGATTGACGATAAAGCACTAAAACACTGTACTAAGGTCAGTAACACTAATTTAGAAGTTGTTAACTTAACTGGTATCAAAAGTAACATCTTGAGGAAGGTCATATAATATTGCTAGATACATTAAAACGATGCATATATCCCAAAAATATCAAGACCTTTGAAATCAAATCTGATGTACCTGATATTTTTAAACCTAGATTTGAGGTTGTGGATTTTCAAGATGCTGAATTTATTACATAACTAGACTTTGAAGAAATATTTTAAATTATTCAAGCAGCAGAAGTTCTTGGCATAGACCGCCTTAGTTGAATCTATTCCTGTGCATTTATTGCATTATAAATCAGAGGTAGAGCCATCCTTTTTTAATTATAGGAAAAAGTTAGGAATAAGTAAAAGTTACTAGCTCCAATACTTAAAAAAAACTAAAACCGGATGAGGAAGTTTAAAGACAAAGGGATATTGATACTTCTGCAAAAAGAGATCCAACTTAAACCATTAATTGATACATTTTGTTATAAAAACTTATATTTTCATATTAAATAATACAATAACTATAATTAAACGAAACTTATAATAATTTTCAATATTTTTTTCAATTTTCCTCTATCTTTAACCATATATAATTTTATATACCTCTTTTTAAAATAATTATATTATTATATATCTTTAATTTTTCATATTTTAATTTTTTAATTTATCTTATTATATAATTCAATCTATATCTATATA